ATTCGGGATTAAATTGGTGACTTGGGACACCCTAAAATCTCCCAAGTGGCGACTCTAAAATAATTAAACAAATCTCATTTCGATTGTCCTTTAATTGGAAAAACTCCTTCAACCCTCGCGGGGGCGGAAAAAGGAGTTGTGACAATAATAATAATAATAATAATAATAATAATAATAATAATAATAATAATAATAATAATAATAATAATAATAATAATAATAATAATAATAATAATAATAATAATAATAATAATAATAATAATAATAAATAAAGGGGAGCTTAAAGAGAAGCCGGAATGACACATGTCATTGATGCAAACATGTAGAAATTCACTTAACTGTATAGGTGCATCACACCCCAACGTGAGATTACCTGTCTGTTATTTATTTCAAACTAACCGTTTGCTTGCTGCTAAGTCCAGGTTTTTAGAAAGGTGGTTTGGTTTGGTGGAGGTCTGGCCTCACATTTATACTTTACGAGGTCGAAATGAAGTGTTCAACTGCCCGTCACTAAGTCAAGAGAAAATATTCATACCTACTTCACGAGATCAAAGGGAAGTGTAGAGATGTCTTTAGAAATTCCTTTGCCAACAATTCTTGTCTCCGAAGAGAGTTCAATCTCGGCCATCCCAACTTCCGAATCAACAACTGCTGAAGAAAACAGAATCTTGTGGCTTCGCATGTTGGAAATGTTGGATGATTGGAACAATGGAAAAGAACCGCCGAGTGTAATCCCTGGATTCCCCGAGATGTTCTCTAGGACAAGTGGGACTTCCAGCGTCCCCATAAGTTATCCAACTACCCCATTCCGGTATCCTACCATTTCAGCCCACTCCACTGGATCGCCCTCCGATTCTTATCCCCGGGTGTCAACAACAGATGTGGCTACAAACATATTCACTGCACCGCCCTGTCCAATTGCGGCACAACCCACTATTCACAGGCCTAATTTTTACTCTTCCTCATTCACATTTCAAGCACCATCCTTCTCGCTGGAACCAACTCGGTTCACCACCAGTGCTCACCCTCAGCAGCCTCAATACGAGCTTACGCCTGGGCAAGACCAAAATCCCAAAGCTCTTGAACAAGATGAAATGGCGAAAAGAATGAGGAGCCTCGAGAAGAGTTTAAAAAATATGCAAGGGTTAAGCGGGCAAAAGAGTATTTCCTATACTGATCTGTGCATGTTCCCTCACGTGCACCTACCCGTAGGGTTCAAAACACCGAAGTTTGAGAAATATGAGGACATGGCGATCCCATTGCTCACCTCAAAAAGTATTGCAACCAATTGCGTGGGGCTGGCGGCAAAGAAGAATTGTTGATGGCATACTTCGGAGAAAGCTTGGTGGGCATAGCCTCAGAATGGTATATGGATCAGGACATATCTCGATGGCACATTTGGGATGATCTTGCTAGAGATTTTGTGAGGCAGTTTCAGTATAATATTGACATCGCGCCAGACAGGAATTCTTTGTCGAACTTGAAAAAGAAACCCTCAGAAAGCTTCAGAGAATACGCTATTAAATGGCACGAGCAAGCATCAAGGGTAAAACCTCCCATGGATGAATTAGAAATGGTCACTACTTTCCTCCAGGCTCAAGAATCAGATTACTTCCAAAACATGATGTCGGCCATGGGGAAACCTTTCGCAGAAGCAATTAAGATCGGAGAAATGGTAGAAAATGGGCTAAAAACGGGTCGAATTCTAAGCCAATCTGCTATCAGAGCTACCTCCCAATCCATTTAGGGTGGGTCTGGAGGAATAGCAAAGGGAAAGAAAAGGGAAGAAACATTCATGGCATCGTCGGGTAAAAGGATAAGTTATACTCCCGGACCCCTTTTCTCAGAGAGGACCCCGCAGCACTACTACCCTCACCAAGATCTGGCCTATACTCCTCAGCCATACTCGGTCATGAATACTCAGCCTTATGTCCGGCCACCGCAACAAGCCAATCGGAGCCAAGCTCCACCTCCCAGAAATCAGCCTCCTTACCGAAACCACTATAATCCACAACTACCCCAAAATAATTTCCGTCCTCAAGAACCACCCAGAAGACAAACTTTCATACCCATTGGTGAACCGTATTCTACCCTATTCCCAAAACTAGTCCAGATGGGTTTCCTGCAACTAGTCCCTCAGACAAGGCACAATCCAGCATCACCGGCTTACAAAGCCGGTGTCAGGTGTGCTTATCATTCGGGAGCAGAGGGGCATGATACCAATGATTGTTGGACTTTAAGAAGGGTGGTAGAGAACTTAATAGAACAGGGAAAGATAGTATTAAGGGACGAGGAGGTCCCAAATGTGACCAACAATCCGTTACTCGCTCACGATAATGGGTCGTTGATTGGGATGATCTGTGAGGACAAGTAGTTTGATCCTGCCCTGAAAGCTATAATCGCCATTGTCAGTGCAGAGAGAAATCCTAAAGCAGCCCCAAAGCACGATAAAGGGGAAAAGAAGACTAATACTGTCAAGACTGAACTCGAAAAGAAGGCAGAGACAAAGATAGAAAAGATGGTGCCTTCGATGAATGAGGTTCTCTATATTCCACGAGGTCGATCAGAGAAGCCACAGAGATTCGAAATAAAAAAAGGCAATACCGATGTACGTGTCGAAAGGGGCCTATGTGGTCTGGGGGACGATTAAACCGCCTTGGCTGAATGAGCCAGTGGTTATCGAATGCATGCCACAGAAGCCAATGACAGACCCGTCTACGGTACCGTGGAATTATCAACAAACATTGGTTACATACAAAGGGAAAGAAATCACGGGGGAACTTCCAGAAAATACTTCTGCTGGGAAATATTCATACATTCAAGAAGTGAACAATGCCACACGGAAGCGCTTCCCACCCAAGAAGCCTGTAAGCGCTAAAGAAGCAGAGACTTTCTTCCAGAAGATGAATATGCTTGACTTTGAAGTGGTGGATCAGTTGCGCAAATACCCTGAACAAGTGTCTATGTTATCTTTGCTAATGAGGTCCGCCGAACATCAGAAGATCCTGCTCAAAACCTTGAATGAAGCGTATGTGCCAACAGAGACTTCAGTTGAACAACTTGAGAGAATGACGGAAAGGTTCTTTGCGGTTAATAAAGTTTCTTTTAGCAATAATGATTTGCCTCCGGAGGGAGCACCTCACAACAAGGCTTTACATCTGACAGTCAAGTGTGAAGACTACTACGTCAAGCGAGTAATGTTGGATGGGGGCTCGGGTGTTGACATTTGCCCGCTCTCCACACTGCAAAGAATGGAAATTGGGACCGGAAGGATTCACCCCAATAATGTTTGTGTAAGAGCTTTTGATGGTATCAAGAGGGACACCCTCGGAGAAATAGACCTGATATTGACTATCGGGCCGGTGGAGTTCGAAGTAACCTTTCAGGTACTGGATATGGACACATCTTACAATTTTCTCCTCGGAAGGCCTTGGATTCATGCTGCAGGGGCTGTACCCTCCACTCTCTACCAAATGGTGAAGTTTGAATATGAATACCGGGAAATTGTGGTCCACGGAGAAGACGAACAATCTGTTTATCGGGACCCATCCATCCCATATCTTGAAGCAAGGGAAGGGAGTGAGCACACAGTTTATCAGGCTTTTGAAGTTGTGCTGGCAGAGCAGTATGAAGAAGGAAAACCTTGTCCCCAACCTTTCTTGTCCAACGCTTCAATCATGGTTGCTAAAGAAATGATCCGACAGGGATTCAAACTAGAAGAAGGACTTGGAAAATCGTTGCAAGGAATAACTGAACCTATCACTTTGCCTTCCACTAAGAAACTCTTTGGGATAGACTTCCACCCTACTCCAAAATATGAAGATTGGGCGAAGAAGAGAAGAAATGAGGGATAGAAGTTACCTCAACCATTGCCACATTTGTACGAAACTTTCGTCAGACCAAAGTACACTGAAGAAGAAGATGATAAGGCTTTTACGGCCGAAAAGATTGAGGAAATATATGGGGTGATGAGAGAAATGCTTTACGAAACCCACATGGTTCAGTTGGGAGAAGGAACAAGCACCGCTGAGGTACTATACATGGGGCCAAATGCTAAGCTTCAAAATTGGGAGGCCACACCGTTCCAAGTTAGGCAGGAGTCCGGGTAGACTTGTCCTGCCACCTTTCCTGCATCACGAGTTATCCCAGGGTGTAACTCAGATGTTTCTCTTTAGTTTCCTGTTTTAATTTCCTGAAATATAAACCCTGTTATCTTCCCAATTCCAAGGAATAAAATCAGTATTTCATCATTTTTTCTTTATTCTTTTTGATTTTTGCTATTTTTCTTTTGTCTTTTCCTTTCAGTTATAATAATGCGGCTTTAAATAATATGACATGCTTGCGGACTTCACGCCCAGATTCAAACGAGTTGTTTAATTGTGAAATAATGAACCAAGAACCGGAATATGACGAAGAAGAGACTTTTAGGGAAATAAATCGAGAACTGGAATACTTTGAGAATAAACCTAAGCCGAATGTGAATGACACCAAACCAGTTAACTTGGGAACTCTTGAAGAAATCCGAGAAACCAAAATAAGCATTCACACAGATGAGAAAACGCGAGATGCAATAATTCAACTCCTCTTTGAATTTAAAGATGTGTTTGCTTGGTCATACGATGACATGCCAGGATTAGGTGTTGATATAGTAGTGCATAAATTGCCAATTTACCCTGATTGTCCTTTAGTTCAACAGAAGCAGAGGAAGTTCAAGACTGATATCAGTGATAAGATCAAAGAAGAAATCGCAAAGCAGTTGAAAACAGGAGTAATTCGGGTAGTCTAGTATACTACGTGGCTGGCTAATGTAGTTCTGATACTGAAGAAATATGGGAAGACTCGGATGTGTGTAGATTATCGAGATTTGAATAGGGCAAGTCCCAAAGACAATTTCCCGTTGCCCAACATCCACATCCTTGTTGATAATTGTGCCAAACACGAGATACAGTCTTTCGTAGATTGTTACGCTGGATATCATTAGGTGTTGATGGATGAAGAAGATGCCGAGAAAACCACCTTCACTACACCCTGGGGTACTTACTGTTATCGGGTTATGCCGTTCGGTTTAAAGAATGTCGGGGCCTTACATAAGAGCCATGACTACCATTTTTCATGATATGATGCATCAAGAGATAGAGGAATATATAGACGACGTGATAGTCAAGTCCAGGACTCAGGATGAATCATGTTCGAGACTTGAGAAAATTTTTTGATAGGCTGAGAAAGTACGACCTGAAGCTGAATCCGGCTAAGTGCACCTTCGGAGTCCCATCGGGAAAGCTTCTGGGTTTCATAGTAAGCAGGAGAGGTATCGAGTTAGATCCAACAAAGATAAAGTCTATCCGAGATCTACCTCCTNATCTCCTAGTAGGCATCGGTTTCTGGAATATGTACTTCAAAGGATCCAACCTGGTTATGAGGTAAGTATTATGAGCTTGGAGATAATGTCTCAATTTTTGAGCGACCCACGTCAAAGCACAACACGTTCTTTCCAACAAAGTGTATTTGACTTCATAATCGGTGAACTTCTTGCTTAAGTAATAGATCGCCTGCTCTTTCTTTCCAGTTATGTCATGTTGTCCGAGGACACAACCGAAAGAATTTTCCAAGACCGTCAGATACAAGAACAAGGGTCTCTTTGGCTCTGGCGGGACCAAAACTGGAGGATTCGAAAGATATCCTTTGATCTTGTCAAAAGCCTCTTGACACTCAACCGTCCATTTGATTGCTGCATCCTTCCTTAANAATTGAGGAAGGATGCAGCAATCAAATGGACAGCTGAGTGTCAAGAGGCTTTTGACAAGATCAAAGAATACTTTTCAAATCCTCTAGTTTTGGTCCCGCCGGAGCCAGAGAGACCCTTGTTTTTGTATCTGACGGTCTTGGAAAATTCTTTCGGTTGTTTCCTCGGACAACATGACATAACTGGAAAGAAAGAGCAGGCGATCTATTACTTAAGCAAGAAGTTCACCGATTATGAAGTCAAATACACTTTGTTGGAAAGAACGTGTTGTGCTTTGACATGGGTCGCTCGGAAATTGAGACATTATCTCCAAGCTCATACTACTTACCTCATAACCAGGTTGGATCCTTTGATGTATATATTCCAGAAACCGATGCCTACTGGGAGATTAGCAAAGTGGCAAATCTTGCTTACTGAATTCGACATAGTCTATGTCACTCGCACGACAATGAAAGCTCGAGCGCTAGCAGATCATTTGGCTGAGAACCCGGTTGATGAGGAATACCAACCATTGAGTACTTATTTTCCAGATGAAGAAATAAATACCATAGAAGTAGTCTCGGAAGATGCTCATGATTGGAAGATGTTCTTTGATGGGGCCGTAAATGCTAAAGGTGTAGGAATTGGGGCAATCTTGATCTCACCCACTGGTCAACACTATCCGGCTACAGCTAGGCTTCGTTTCTTTTGCACGAACGATACAGCTGAATATGAAGCCTGCATCATGGGCATGAATATGGCGATCGATCAAGATGTTGAAGATTTGTTGATCATGGGGGATTCTGATTTGATTATCCGACAAGCCCAGGGTGAATGGGAAACTCGAGATGTCAATCTTATTCCTTACCGACAGTACGTGGAGGATCTCAGCAAGCGATTCAAATCAATAGAGTTCAGATATATCCCGCGGTGTCACAATGAACTAGCCGATGCACTTGCCACCTTAGCTTCAATGATACCTTACCCAGGCAATGCCCACATCGATCCTTTGGAAATCCAAATCAGGGAAAGACACGGTTATTGTAATGTAATCGAGGCAGGACCAAATACACAGCCATGGTACCATGATGTTAAGAGGTTCTTGAAGACACAAGAATACCCCGAACATGCTACTGGAGATCGAAAGAGAACTATTAGGCGGCATGCGAATGGATTCTTTTTGAGCGGTGATGTATTTGTATAAAAGAACCCCGGATCTCAACTTGTTAAGATGTGTAGACACCGAAGAAGCAGGAAAAATCATGCATGAAGTACACGCAGGAGTGTGTGGACCTCATATGAACGGGTATGTCCTGGCGAAGAAAATCCTTCGAGTTGGGTATTATTGGATAACCATGGAGAAAGACTGTTTCAGTTTCGTCTGGAAATGTCATCAGTACCAGGTACATGGAGATCTCATTCATGCACCTCCAACAGAGCTACATCCTATGTCGGCACCGTGGCCTTTTGTCGCCTGGGGTATGGACGTCATTGGTCCGATTGAGCCGAAAGCCTCAAATGGGCACAGATTCATATTGGTCGCTATTGATTACTTCACAAAATGGGTCGAAGCTGTCACTCTCAAATCAGTCACTAAGAAAGTCGTGGTGGATTTTGTACATTCAAATCTTATCTGTCGTTTCGGTATTCCTGCAACTATAATCACAGATAACGCGGCAAACCTGAATAGTCACTTGATGGAGGATGTATGCGAACAGTTCAAAATAGTGCATAGGAACTCCACTCCTTATCGGCCCAAGGCCAATGGCGTTGTTGAAGCAGCAAACAAAAACATCAAGAATATTTTGAGGAAGACAATCAAGAGTTCTAGACAATGGCATGAACAATTACCTTTTGCCTTGCTAGGATATCACACTACATTACGCACATCAGTAGGGGCAACCCCGTATTTGTTGGTTTATGGGACCGAAGCTGTGATACCGGCAGAGGTAGAAATTCCTTCGCTCCGGACCATTGTTGAAGCAGAAATTGAAGATAGCGAGTGGGTTAAGACTCGATTGGAGCAGTTGACTTTGATTGATGAAAAATGAATGGTTGTAGTCTATCACGGACAGTTGTACCAACAAAGAATGGTCCGTGCTTACAACAAGAAAGTGCGACCCCGGAATTTTGAAGTAGGTCAACTGGTATTAAGGCGCATTCTGCCACATCACCAGGAAGCGAAAGGAATATTTGCTCATAATTGGAAGGGCCCGTACATTATCAGGAAGATATTGCCAGGAGGAGCGTTGTATCTGGGTGATATTGAAGGAAATGATCGTGAAACAGCTGTGAACGCGGATGCAGTCAAGAGGTACTATGTTTGAGTTTACTTCGGTGATGTGTTGGCACATTTGAGATGATGAAGGCTTTTATTCCCGCTACCCAAACACTATCAACTCTTTTTACAAACCCTTTGAGCCGGTTACATTCCCTTGGCTACCCTCGTTAGAATCCAAAAGCACCGTTGAAAAAAAAAATGATTTGCCTGAACTACGTCTGACTTGATTCCGAAAGGATACGTAGGCAGCCTCTCTCTGGGATTCAGTCACACCAAAATAAAAATCCAAATTCCCTCAAAATGAAACTGGGGCAGATGTTATAATGGTCCGGCGGTAATCCCGTTTTGAATGGTTCCAAAGTTGTGAGGCAAGAAATGGTTACAGCTACTTGGATCCGAGGCAAGAAAATGAGAGAAATAAAACGAGAGAGTCTTATTGGTGAAAATCCACACGGGCACCGTAAGGCAACGACGAGTAGAGAAATCGAAAATGAGAGAGCTTGTTTAGTAAAAACTTGTAAAGAGTGCTATCAGGCGACGGTGAGAAGAGAAATGAGAGAGGTCGACTAGCGAAAACCCACAAAGGGCGCTGTCGGCCGAAAAGATGATTTCACCACAGAAAGTTCTAGCAAGGTTCCCTGATTGGGAAACATAGATCCATTTTTGGTTCACGAGGAAATGCAAGTTCGTGAGGGTCAAGCATCCCGTCCAAAAAGCATGTCATGTCAGTTTGAAGCCAGCATGCACCTCAGATAAGTCCTTCTTTTCCCCGAAAGGGACGCTTCTAAATTCGTTTCTTCGCTCTTTGTTTACCTTTCCTCGAATCCCTTTCGCTTTAACCCTAAATTCCA